CCACTCTCCTTTAGAGCATTGTGAAAATCCTTAATGTTCCAATGCTGGGTCCTCTGTTTCATCCGTCATCTGAGCTGTTTCTCGATGGAGTATCATTTATAGGAGTAAACAAGCTGACTCTATTTCATCAGTAAACAATAAATATAAACAAATGTGTTTGTCACCTTGGCCGGTAAGCCTGTACAAATTTATCCAGTATCCTAGTTCATAAGATGAAATGTGTGGAATCAAATGTTGATATCGTCTCAGGAAACATTGCTTCACCTAATGCCACTCAGTAAATACAGGACACACATTCTTTATTGATATTTGCAACCTCTAGACTCTCAATTTTACTTCACTCTCAGTTTAAGATGAGGAGGACAGATTCAAGAGGCTGGTGTTGTCACCCCAACAATATTTGGCCTATGTGGGTGGGCCACGTTGGTTGTATTTAGAACATTCCCCTTAAAAATAACTTGGACATTGTAGCTCTTTAACCTTTCCGCCCGACATCCTTTTAAATGATTTGAATTAAATCTTTGGACTTCAGATGCTTGAAGGGTATTTTCATGAAGATGTAGAAAGTAGGGCTACTCGGAATATATCATGAGTTGCATATGATATGGGGGTCACAGTCTAGCCTGGAAAAGGTGTTATAAATATTCTCCAGAGATTGGGAAAGGCAGGGGCCACGGGCCATTTTGCACATTAGAATAAACAATGGCCCATTAACATTTTGACATTTTAAATTCAAACTAAAGAAGATAATTTGAGTTTGGTGGATAGATTACTTAAGTTTTTTGGCTTTTTTTATTTAAAAAATGCAGTTGAGTTAAAAATTCAGCTGTTTCAAATTGTCAAACTCAGTTTGAAATTTGAGTAAAAACTTAAGTTTACTTCGAGAAATCGGGGCCTGGACAGGTAAATTGAGTATCAGAAGAAATGATGGAGTGACTAATGTTTCAGTTAGTACAGTTTTCATGGTACATTTATGTTGTTTACTTCTCACACTGACATCGAGTGGTTATAAAATGTGTGTCATCAATTAACAGACATATAAGATGCCTGGAGCTTGGCATTAAGGGGATGAAACAATGGACTCCGACAGGGTATCCATTAGAGCTGTGACGATATATCATAGTATCGATAATCGTGATCCTTTATCTGGCGATAAATACATCAATACGTCTTTTTGTATCGTGATATGTATAGTTGACCTTAAAATTGTTAATTTTCATTAGATATTGACAGTTATGTCAAAATTTCTTGCTATTAAAATACGATTTTTTAAAGAAAATAACTAAAGAAAGCATATCATGTTATGCATCGAATCGAGTCGTATCGTTCCAAGATATCACGATACGTATCGTGAAATTTCTGTATCGTCACACCTCCAGTATCCATGTTATACTGCTGGATGGTTTGGAGGACAGTGACTGTAAAATGAGCACTAGTCTGGACTTGTATATGTAACCCAACACAGACATGACCATGCATGTCACATTGTAAGTGAAAGAATTTTAAGCAAGACGTTAAACCTCATATCAACTCTACTGACCTCACCTCGAATTGTTCAGTAACTGTATTCACATTCAAACTGTTAAAGGCAACTTGTCAGGAACAAACTCTCAACAAATATATTAATGTAGTGAGTTAATGTTAGCTGCGGATGATTAGGGGAATAGTTTCATCTAATGACTTAAAGTGAGGGTATGAAAGGCCTGTATAGTACACTGGGCTCTAGATAAGTGTTAAAGCTGTTGTTTTTAGGCTTCCATGTTCTCAGACATTGGGTATTGGTCCTGTTGCTTGTGTCCTTTGGGTATTCAATATATTTTTCTTCTTTGGGTACAGTCAGCAGGGTTTCTCTGCTGATCCAGGTGTACACAAGTGCACATATCACTTTTGCCTAGCAACCATTGTTCTCTATTTCGTCGTCTGTTGAAAACAATTGAACGTGACGTCAATGAACAGGACAGTCACACTTGCTTATCTAGTTTTACTGCACAAATGTACATGAATAGAATGGATAAAAAAGAAATTATTACACGAGCAAGAGTGCCACACAACTTATACGAAACTCGTGCAAAATTGTGTATTGCCCTTGCTCTCGCTCGGGCAATACAAAATTTCACACTCGTTTTTTATAAGTCGTATGACACACTTGCTCGTGTAATAATCTCTATGTATATCATGTGTGGTATATGAAAGCTGAAAAAAATGTTAGATAACTGTGTTTTTGTGATATTGGAATTTTTATTTCCTTCATGCTCATTTATATGCAAACCACTTAAGATTAGTTGGGTGTATTGTGATTTGTGTATATGTGTTCAGCACTGATTAACTGTATATGATATATAGTCATCATCATCATCATCATCATCATTAGATATTTGTTGTTAGTGTTTTTGGTGATTGTATAGGGAAAAATGCCCCATCATGATCCATCATAGGCCCTCTCTATGACTTTTGCTAGCAATTTATAAGGAAACTACCTTCAGAATTCTTGGACACAATTACGTCACTTGTAACAGAATGGGCATTATAGTTCTGCTTTTCCAAACAACTGTATGCAAAAAGGAGCAAAATATATTCAATCCACACGAAAATATTATAAATGATTTATCAAGCTATCCATGCATATTTGTAAATACAAACTGAAAAGCCATTATGAAAATAATTTTCAATTAACTTCATTTAAAAAAATATCAAAAAGCATATCTGCCTTGTGTTTGTTTATTAATCCAGCTCACTGCACTTAGTCACATTCTGTATGAGGATACTGAGGGACATGCTGGGACAAGGACCAACTCTTGTACTCTTAAGACACAAAATCCTCTGATATGATGGGATACATCTGAGTGAAGATGAATGTTTTATACACCTAATCAAAGTTGAGGCATCTAAACATCAGAGCAGAGATCTTTACGTTTTTCATTGTTTCTGAGTTCGCGTGGCATCTATGTTCTGTGAGTTTTCGTTAGTTAGTACTGAATGTTTGTTATCAAGTTTATAAATCAAATGGAGGTGAAAGTTTTGACGCCTGAGTCACTAACCAAGTCATATTGTCAGTGTTTGCTAAGGGTTCGCACTATCCCACATTTTCTTGTTTGTTGTTTATACCTGGGTTCAGCAATATTAAAGCAATACTATTGTATCGATTACTACATTTGGAGATGTCTGTCAACTAGACTTTTGTGATCTGGGAGGTCACTCCTGGTCACTACATACTAATGTTGACCTGGTGAAGGTCAAGCAGTAAACACAACGGCTGTCTCATGGCAACAGTTTTGTTTAAAGAATCGAATCACACTGTCATTAAATATTTGAGTTTGAGAGAACTCACCCAAGGAATTTATCAATATCTCTACAGATTGAAACACCTGGCATGTATGTGTCCCTTTTTAGGAAAGAACCATTTGCATCGTGCATTATATACAGCTGCTCATTGGGGTGTGTTTGAAAGGATGAGGGGGAAAAATAGAGAGCAAAACAAATAGTATTTTGGCAGATGCACACCTTCCATTTGGAGCTTTGCACACTGGAATTTGAAACTATTTTCATGAGCTGTTGGTTGTTTTTCCTGCTTCAGACTACTGAATCTGTATCATACGGAATCCTTGATCATACTGAATCTGGATTATTGTGGATCATCAGGGATTTACATGGAGTCCTGTATTTGAGGGTCCCTGGGACTCATACTCTTAATTTTCAGGGGTCCTGGACAACAAAATGGGGGTCCCAGACACTTAAATATTATTATTAATACTGTTATTGTATTGTGTGTCATGATCATCACATTGTTAAAGTAATTAAATTGCAAATAATACCATAACCCTGCTAGTAGCAAACTCAGTGATAACTTATTGTCACTTGATTTTTGCAACAAGTATTTGGACTTTTCTGAGTCCCTGTGGACACGCTAATAAATTTGCGTCCTGTAAATCCCAGGATCATGACTTGGATCATCTGCTCTGTAGAAACCCTTGACAAATATACAAGACAACTTTATGTTATAGTGTGTAGTGAACATATATAGATATCCCAGGGGTCCTTATACAACTATGTGTTATATTGTGTAGTGAATATACATCCATATCCCAGAGGTACTGAAACAACTTTGTGTTATGTTGGATAGTGAATATACATCTATATCCCAGAGGTACTGAAACAACTTTGTGTTATGTTGGATAGTGAATATACATCTATATCCCAGGGGTACTGAAACAACTATGTGTTATATTGTATAGTGAATATACATCTATATCCCAGGGGTACTGAAACAACTATGTGTTATATTGTATAGTGAATATACATCTATATCCCAGGGGTACTGAAACAACTATGTGTTATATTGTATAGTGAATATACATCTATATCCCAGGGGTACTGAAACAACTATGTGTTATATTGTATAGTGAATATACATCTATATCCCAGGGTACTGAAACAACTATGTGTTATATTGTATAGTGAATATACATCTATATCCCAGGGGTACTGAAACAACTATGTGTTATATTGTATAGTGAATATACATCTATATCCCAGGGGTACTGAAACAACTATGGGTTGGATATATGTTATATTGTATAGTGAATATACATCTATATACCAGGGGTACTGAAACAACTATGTGTTATATTGTATAGTGAATATACATCTATATCCCAGGGGTACTGAAACAACTATTTGTTATCATGGTTATATTGTGTAGTGGATGTACATCCTTATCCCTTATCCCTTATCCCAGGGATAATAAGACATGTCTGTGTTACTTGGGAAGGGAATTTCTCATCCATATTTTAAGCTTTAATAACAAGCACATAACTTTGCATCTCAATTTGTAAATCTAGAAAATATACTTCAAGTTATGTGCAGACTGTTTCCCAGTTATGCATGTCATTATGGGATAGCTGATGGTACATCCACACTGCTGAACCTCCGGAACATATCTAAGGTATTTGAAATAAAGTTGTTGTGTTCACTGTTACTAATTATCTTCCCTTCATCTACAGTTGGCTCTGAGTGCTGCTTCACCCATTTTCCGGGGCCATCTTGCAGACATTGAGGCACGGTGGACTGTCATCGCCCAGGGCGTGGATGATCGTACCAGGGAGGAGCTTGGCCTTGAAGTGAGTGTCTGTCATGCATGGGACTTTACCACTTTCAGTTACCTCGTTAGGATGAGAAAGCCACTATAACATGGTGCGCCTAGTGGCTGCAAGAGTTGTATACTCCCCAGGGAGTTAAGATTGATAATACGATGTGCCGTTGAGATTGACATCCAATGATTGAGGGAAAATAATACCAGCACCTTGAGCATGCACTAGTTGCATGGATATGAGTGCTATATAAATATAAATATCCTATAATTTCTGCATGTGTGATTTAGTGAAATATTTTCAAGTTTACCAAACGTATTGTCAGCATGGCCTGTGTTCATGGTAGTTTTCACTAGTTGTGTCCTGTTACTTGTCACTTGTGTCAGCATGTGATGCAAAGATTTACATATTTCTAGGCTTTAGGATGATACAGTGCACTGCAAAAGATCATTTATTTTTATCAAGAACATAGCATCACTTATGTTAATGATAACTATTAATATTTGGGGAAAATATTGATCTTCCCTTATATCCCGCTTGTTCCCTCGTTTTTGAGTGAGTGGTATCTGTATTCTGTGTGAGTTTTCCTTATTACTACTGAATTTTCTGAATTAAGTTGGTAAATGAAGTGAGTGAGTGAGTTTAGTTTTATGTCACTTTTAACAATATTCCAGCAATATCATGGCAGGGGACACCAGAAATAGGCTTCACACATTGTACCCCTATATGGGGAATCGAACGTGACGAGTGAACGCTTTAACCACTAGGCTATCCCACCACCTGTAAATGAAATGGAGTTTTGACATCTGACTGACTCACTTAACCAAACCATCATGTCAGTGAAAGTTGGCTAAGGGTTCACAACAACCCTCATTTGCTCATTTGGTGATGCATTAAAACTAAATTAGCTCCAAGGTATAACAGTTATTTGTTTGAGTTGTGTAATGTATCCAGACTTAGATCTGATATTTATTGGTTCTGATCCCCAGACTGTTGGGAAAGGTTGGTCGATAGATACCTATCACGTCAAACCAAGAGATGATACTCGTTGCTGCCCAGCCCATGGTATAGTCCGTTTGGCCCAAAAGCGGACATCAGACCAACTGTGAGGTTTTTGCAGAATTTTGTTCCTAAGATTCAAAAAGTTGTTTAACAAACTATCATTAAAATATTGACACAGTTCACTATTTGTTACGAGGGAGGAGTACAGAGAAAGGGACAGCCAGGTGTTAGAGAAGCACGTGCACAAGTGCCGACAAAGTTATTGATTCATTAACCTGTGCTGTGCCGTCTCCATCCTTTCTCGAACACCTGGCTGTCCCTTTCTCTGCACTCCTCCCTCGTAACAAATAGTGAACTGTGTCAATATTTTAATGATAGATTGTTAAACAACTTTTTTATTTTTAGGACAAAAATTCTGCAAAAAACCTCACAGAGTGGGTATGATGTTTTGATTATGATCAGCGTTTCATTGAGTATGTTATGTTTATTAGTTTTCGAGTTAGATTGCAATTCATCGGTCCGCTTTTGAGCCAAACGGACTGTAGTAGCAACACAGTGAACCTCTAGTAGCAAAATCTCCCTGTACTTCATTCTTCGGTATGCTGACATGCTCTGATATAACTGAAGAACAGCTTTCAGTGGCATCAAATAAGTATGAAAGCAATTTCACAATTTAATGATTTATGCGCTGTTAAGTGTCTCCTACATACCATTGTAAGAAATAGTAACTTGAGAAAGCGGCCTTGAAGCAAATCTTTTTTGAGGTGAATTAAATGTGCTTCTTAAACTCAATTAAAGAGTGTGATGGTTTGTTTTCGTAGGATATATTGTAGATACCCTGTCACAGGAGATGAGTAATTGAGAAGTCTGCACAATTTCAGCACGTAGTTTTGTGTGTAATTTGACAAAGATTCAACATGATTTCTTCTTGGTTTCTTAGGAGTTACCTGACCTTGAACTTAATAGATGAATAGATTTTTAGCTTAATTTTGCTAAGGAAGGAATACAATAGAAGCTCAATAAAAAATTACAACTTTGAATGCCCTTGAATTGTCGGTGCACCCATCCCATTTGTTGACACTGGAAGATTTATTGAAGACATCCTCTTCACCTATTTACAGCTAACAAATAACATGCACATCATTGTGTCAACAAGACATTTCTATCAGTCCTGTAGATGTAGAAGTTCTGTAGAATGTGCTGTAAATGTAAAATGTTCTGTGGAATGTGCTATAGATGCAGAAAGTACTGCAGAATGTGCAGTAAATGTCAAATGTTCTGTAGAATGTACTGCAGATGCAGAAAGTCCACTATAAAGCCCTAAGCATGTACATTATCCCGTACTTGTAGAGTGTCTTATACTTGTAGAATGTCTGACCAAGACAAGACAGAGAATCTCCTATCATCCTCCCCTAATGACTGTACATGTAGAATTCAGTGTCTGGAGGTTTGTTGCTATTGTTCTAGCCTTTGAAAGAAAACAAGTTCTGTATCAACAAGTCTCGCTATGACTCGATTGACAGCTACCTGTCGCCAGGAAGTGCCTGTTACAATGACATCGACATGGTGTACGACAAGGATCTCTACCAACAGCTTCGCGATGGAGGTACGTACACACACACTCAGTGAAGTTCTCATTTTTCTAAATTCTTAGATATTTTGTAAGACTAAGCATTAATGCCCCCCTTTTTTGTTTGACTTACCAGTGATATGCAATCTAATGCTACAAAGCCATAAAGTTAGCTGTAACTATGTCCACATGCAAGTGATGATGATTTTAAGTGGGGTCACCCATTTTGTTCGGGGTGGGGGTGGGGGATGGGTGGGGGTGGTTTGTCATCAATTTTGTACACATGTACTAGGAGTGGTCAGCAACTTTGTACATAAAAATGTTTTTAAAAATATGTTTAAAAAATATGTGGTGGAGGGTGGGGGCATTGATTTTGTACATGACATGCAGGGGGGTCACTTACTTTGTACATACATTTTAAGGGGGTCACTTACATTGTACATGCCTCTCCATAAAAATCATCATCACCCCTCCTAGCCATAAATTATGTTAATTTAGTTGGAGAGGCTGATGACCATTTCTTTACATTGTAGTACCTCTCTGTGTCCTTGTTTAGGTGTTGATGAACTGTTGTCACGCCATCTTGCCCACCTGTTTATACGAGACCCAATCTCCCTGTTCAGTGAAAAGATTGACCAGAATGACGACGAGGACACTGACCATTTTGAGGTAGTTCAAAAGGAAGTTTACATGATCATATATTGCTGGCATGGTAACGTGTTGTTTCAAGCCTAAAACTAAAAACCAGGTAAAATATTTCACTTTTGAGACTTCTCATTTGTGTGGGGGTAGTAGAGTTTTGGGGTAAACACTTTTGTACAATGACCAGACAGACTTTGTATTTTGATATGCTTGTTTTATGTACCACCCAGAACATCCAATCCACCAACTGGCAGACCATGAGGTTCAAGCCGCCCCCACCCAACTCAGACATAGGATGGAGGGTGGAGTTCAGACCCATGGAGGTAGGGACATCACAGCTTGTGTTGGTTATAACGCACTGAATGTATGGGTCAGTAGATGGGTAAAACAAGCACCTGTGTTTGTGTTGACGTGTACATAACAATATAGGAAAGCAGGTGCGAAAATGGTTTGATTTTGAAAAACACCTGATATTCCTATGATATAACTTTGCTGTGTTCAGGGCTAGTTGCCAGTTTGGCTACAGTGGCAGTGTTGATGATGAGTCCTGTTCCCGGTTCTAGGTCCAGCTGACAGACTTTGAGAATGCAGCCTATGTAGTGTTCATCGTGCTCCTCACTCGAGTCATCCTCACATTCAAACTCAACTTCCTCATCCCCATCTCAAAGGTAGGTCCTGTCTGGAATCAGTGAGGGACATCTCTACTGTCACTGAATTATCCACTGTCTTGTGTTGCCATGCTTTGATGACATGAAATCTGGAGCCATTTCTCACACAGCTTCTTTGTCAGTCTGGTTTCAGTGGCAGTGGTAGAAACAGACATCCAATTAAATCGCTGTTATTTCATGCAAGGAACAATGTTACCAATATTCAAATGTTCAGTAGACTTTATCCCTCTCTGTTGATATTCAGAACTTTTTACCTCTATTTGGTATTAGTGATGGAGATGTTGATGTCACTATTACTGCCAGTTGGACCCAGGTTACTTACCCTGCATAAATCAAGAGATACTATTATCATGATTATGGTTAATTAAAGGTGAAACTCTGTTTTCAGTGATTGTTATCCTCCACACATTTTCCAGAGCATTTCTGTGTGCAAGGCATGCCCCCCATCTTAAATAAGTGTGTGGTTTAATGCTGTTTTGTATGTGTCAGTTACTTGTCAGCTTCTGGTAGGAGGGAAGTCCAAAGTAATGCTGATTGCAGACATTTATCGCTTTGTTGAAGCCCACAAGCGAGTGTGTGAGTGAGTAAGTTTAGTTTTACGCCACACGCAGCAATATTCCAGCTATATGACGGCGGTCTGTAAATAATTGAGCTGGACCAGACAATCCAGTGATCAACAGCATGAGCATTTATCTACAGAATTGACATGTCTGAACCAAGTCAGCGAGCCTGACCACCTGATCCTGTTAGTATCCTCTTACTACAATTATGGGTTACTGAAGATCAGTTCTAACCTGGATACAGAGTGTAAGGGGAGATAATGACAGTAGTGTTCAAAGCATCTGTGCCAGTGCAGTGCATTAGTTGCCACGGAGGCAAAGAGAGAATAAACTACAAGTGAATTACAGTTTATCTGTCCAGTTTACTAATGAAGATAATCTACATGCTGTGTAATTCCTTGTTGCTCATAGATAAGTGTGCATCCTGTTGCTGTTGGGATCAGCAGTAATGATCATTCCCTTTTCTGTGCCCTGACATTTGATATTGTATGGAATCTAGTGTATGGTATACCTGTTGATGTTCAGCAGAGACATACTGGCTTTAGACCAGACAGAGTTGTGTCCCTTAGTTTCCTGGCTCTGTCTTGGTTCTGTGTCATACCCGGTTTGTTGGTTTCACCAAACTGGTAGACATCTTCAGTTTGCATCTAGTTTGCTTGCCTCCCACTTTTAGCTGATAAGTAGTAATGCAAATGAAATGCTGTTTCAGTGGTTTTACACTCAATTTGAAAAGGCCATTTCATGAATTTGTGAGTGGTTAAAATAAAGGGTTAAGTGTCTGGGTCTATTTATTTATTGCTACTACAATAATTTATCATGCTGTCACTGTACCACTATTGTGTGGAAGAATGCCTACATTTTTCGATATTGTTGACACTTCAGCAAGGCTTATGTACAGTCCCCTGAAGGTGATTTCAGGTTACAACCAGGCTGGTCATAGGAGGCGAGAAGATGGATCCTGTGGTCAGACTCCAGTGACTTGGTTGATTCATGTCATCATACCTTGACAGTGACCACCACTGCTTGTAATTTCAGTTACTGGGTTATCTGGTCCTGGGAATATACCTAGAATAGAGTGCAGTATTGAATAGCACACAAACTGACAAACACGACAACTACCTGAAAGGAATTGTTCCTTGATCTGTTAAATACTGTCTCTCCAGGTTGATGAAAACATGAAGACTGCCTCCAAGAGGGATGCAGTGAGACAGGGCCGGTTCTACTTCAGGAAAGATGTTGTCACAGGTGGGAAACACACAATCATTGCTGTACTATTGATAATCACTGAAGTCAATGACTGACTGCCAAGTATAGACCATATGTGGAATGTATAGAATAATCTTTAAGTAACATCTGTCTGTGAAGTATTGTTGATGATGACCATATGTGGAATGTATAGAATAAAATCAAAGTAACATCTGTCTGTGAATTATTGTTGATTGTCACCCACCAAGGGTTAGTGAGTGAGTTAAACCTTGTTCAGCATTATCTCAGCCTGATAACAAGCCCACCAAGGGTTAGTGAGTGAGTTAAACCTTGTTCAGCATTATCTCAGCCTGATAACAAGCCCACCAAGGGTTAGTGAGTGAGTTAAACCTTGTTCAGCATTATCTCAGCCTGATAACAAGCCCACCAAGGGTTAGTGAGTGAGTTAAACCTTGTTCAGCATTATCTCATCCTGATAACAAGCCCACCAAGGGTTAGTGAGTGAGTTAAACCTTGTTCAGCACTATCTCAGCCTGATAACAAGCCCACCAAGAGTCCAATAATTACTGTATTTCGTCAATGTTCCTATGTTATTCTGTGGTGCTGTGTTGACAGATTGCTCCCCACCGGAGGCTGCAGAGTGCATGGTGAACTGTGAGAAGGCTCCCTGTAAATGTATTGCCGATGAATACACGTTGATGAGCATTGATGAAATCATCAATGGCAAGGTGGGTGGCCCAGCAGAAACACAGTGTTAACCTGTTGGTGGAATCGGTTGTAATGTTATTGCTATTGATAGAAGGTTTGTTCTAACAGAACAAGTGTTCATTGTTGAGGGTTTCTCATATTTAGTGTTGATGTCCCTCTTTTTGTAATGATTTGCCATTTTGGGGGGCTATTTTAACACCTAGTTGGCCACAAAATATGTAAGCATGTTTTGTGAAAATGGGTGGAAGTCATTAGTGGTTGATGAGTGGAATTATGAGAGCTTGTGACTATTCTTGTATTGGGATGACCTGTCACTCGTTGAGTAAACCTAATCATTGGAACATCATGCTATCTACACAGTTTTGTACCTCTTCAGGAGAATTCTTCTTTGCCTGAATTTAGCTGTACATTGACATAGTACTAGAAGCCATTTAGGAGTATATTTATATAGTACTAGGAAGCCATTTATCAGTACATTGACATAAAACTAGAAGCCATTTAGGAGTATATTTATATAGTATATTTATAGTACATTGACATAATACTAGAAGCCATTTAGGAGTATATTTATATAGTACTAGGAAGCCATTTATCAGTACATTGACATAATACTAGAAACCATTTAGGAGTATATTTATATAGTACTAGGAAGCCATTTATCAGTACATTGACATAATACTAGAAGCCATTCAGGAGTATATTTATATAGTACTAGGAAGCCATTTAGCTGTACATTGACATAGTACTAGAAGCCATTTAGGAGTACAGTCAGCTCTCGTTAATCCGACACTCATTAATCCGACAGTCACGTTAATCCGACAAAAAATTAGGGGACCATTTAAAACAGTGATAATTACTCTCGTTAATCCGACATTCTCACATTCCGACTCCGACACACCAATCTAGCAGCTGATTATTGTAAATACATTGTAAAAACATTCGTTAATCCGACAATCAACACAGCCGGTCGGATGATCCGACCGTATACAAACAATCACAACCGACATGAGTTTTCATCACAAGATGTTTGTCACGAGTACACCACCTGCTAAGCGACCCCTTGTAGAAGTTACGCCATTGATCAAGAAAGAAATCTCCTTTTGAAGAAAGACAAACCCCAGACAACACAACAAGAAGTTATCACTTTTGCTGAGCAGAAGTTTGATGTGAAGATTGGAAGATCAACCGTATCTGACATCCTGAAGCAGTCTGCTCAGTGGTTGAACGTCTCTACGACTGATTCCAATGCTTCAAGCTATCTGAGGCCAAAACATCGATGAACACTTTGCAAACATTTCTGACACACCACTTAGACGTGTTTGATGTTAATGACCATCAAAGACTTTTTCAAGTTATAAATTATATATGTTATGATACACGCCTGATTGTACATTAGACGTCCACATGTTATTATGGAATTAGTTGTATGGAAACTGTAACATAATCAACATCCGGGTCATAATGGCAGCTGATATGCGGTAAAAACAAACATGAGTTTTGTGCCAATGTGGTCATGAAATAGATATGAAACTGTTCGCTTATGTGATTACATATGTATGTTATGCCATCTATGAATGTTAATAAATGAAAACAAGTATGTATTGTTAGTATTTTATTTTTCTGTGAATATTTTTACATACGATGAAGATAACAAGATCTACCATTTCTGATATGCATGCAACAGTATGGTGATCATGACATTTAGTAAACATTGATATTTTCACACAAATACACTAATCCGACATTTTCATTAATCCGACATTTTAGTTAATCCGACATATTTCTCTGCAACCACAAGTGTCGGATTAACGAGAGTTGACTGTATATTTATATAGTACTAGGAAGCCATTTATCAGTACATTGACATAATACTAGAAGCCATTTAAGAGTATATTTATATAGTACTAGCAAGCCATTTAGCAGTACATTGATGTAATACTTGGAACCCATTTAGCAGTACATTGATTAAATACTTGAAATTCCGTTTACAGTACCTTGATATAGAAAAGTTGAGTCTGTGTACCAGTACGTTGATATCGTAATTGAAAGTACATAACTGGGTTTGATAGTGTGCGTTATGAGATTGTACACAGGGTTCCTGTCCTGAAAGCCTTGGGCCTGATATTTGTTGTGATTGTTTCAGGGAGATTTTGTTGGCTTGTTGTCCTTGATGAACAAGTACATGGACAGTGTGGAGACCGATGTGGACACTCGCTGTACTGTCCTCCAGTATCTGCAGCTCATCTCCAAAAGAGCCTCAGGTAATTATTTCACAACAGTTTTCAGGTAGTCAAGTGAGCTTATGTCATAGTGAATTGTCTGTCCAGTTGTATCTCTCCCTCTTATACTGTCTACATCTCTGAAACCCCTAGGCCTGTGAAGCTAGAGTGAGTGAGTGAGTGAGTGAGTTTAGTTTTACGTCGCACTCAGCAATATTCCAGCTATATGGTGGCGGTCTGTTAATAATCGAGTCTGGACCAGACAAACCAGTGATCAACAGCATGAGCATCGATCTACGCAATTGGGATATCATGGCATGTGTCAACCAAGTCAGCGAAATGGTAGGACTTGCTGAACGCAATTCGGAGCTAAACGTTCACCTACTCCTCTGTAAAAACGAGCTCGGCCATCATTACTGTACAGGCAAAACCTACTGTCGTTGGTGAGACAGTGAATGAGTTTAGTTTTACGCCGCACTCAGCAATATTCCAGCTATATGGCAGCGGTCTGTAAATAATCGAGTCTGGACCAAACAATCCAGTGATCAACAGCATGAGCATCGATCTACGCAATTGGGATATCATGGCATGTGTCAACCAAGTCAGCGAGCCTGACCACCCGATCCCGTTAGTGGCCTCTTACGACAAGCATGGGTTACTGAAGGTTCATTCTAACCCGGATCTTCACGGGTTTGTGAAGGTAGAACTTATTATATGAATGATCCCAGCCCTCTGAAGCCTGCCATTTTAAAGATGGCTGCCATTATTTCTTCATCGTTGAGGTTGGCTTCGGAGACTTGTGACTTGTGGGTCTATATTTTGTGATTTTTGTGGATACTTCAACCACTTCGAACTGTTTGGAGGATTGTATACATGATAGTGCTAGATTTATTAAATTTATGGTGAAATATCAGAAGCAAGGCCTTATGACAGATAGTATGATATATATGTGCTTTCAACTCCCACAGCCTTTGATCATATGATGTATGTGCAATTTGTTGTTTTAGGTGAGTTGATGACAACGGCACGATGGGTTCGTGAGTTGGTCAACAACCATCCAGATTACAAACATGACTCCGTCGTGTCCGACAGCATTGCCTATGACATTCTGTCCAAATGTGCTGCCTTTTCACGAGAAAGTACCGATGTGCCAGAACTTTTATTTTCCTATTCAACTAAATCTGCTGATACCATTCCATTGGCTGTGTCCAAGGCACAGCAGTACTACCAGGAGAAGAGTAAGAAGAAGTAGAAACAGGAAGTTAAGAAGTATTTCCCCTTTTGGTTTCAAGCGATGGTGCTATGGTTTGGCCACATTAGCATACAACGGTTCAATCAGGAAGCCTGCTTTTATAGATATATGAAAACAGTTTCAGTTCATCAATTGTTGCATTGCTCATGATGGACTTTCAAATCAAAATAAAAAATATTTGTAACTGATGAAGATATGTTTATGTAAACATGTAGGATATTAATTTTAGATGGCATTATAGTTAGATTATTTACAATCATTAAATTAATATGAGTTTGAAATTAATGCAAATGATGTCATTTTCCTATGTTGACATTATTAAAGTGGGCCACTATTGGTGGTATGAAGGAGTTAAATGAACCACCTTGATGCCATGGTATACATAGCAACAGACCCAGTGGGTGGATGTTGTCCGGCAGTAATTGCAGTGTTTCTCACCTGGTGTGACCAGTTGTAGCTGTTCATCAAGTGGCTACAACAGATGCAATTCTTGTATGGTGGCATCTTGGTTTTGAGAAACCTTGTCAAATAATCTCACAGTTGCAAAATGGTGCTCAGCCACAAAGTGAAAATGTCCAGGAACAGCCATTGTGGTGAATATCTAACACTATTAGGCCAGACCATTCTTTTTCAGAAGAAGTCCTCCTTGGGGTACATATAAGCATTTTTTTTTTAAATGTCCATTTTAAATCCTACGACAGTTGTAACTAATAATAAAATATTTACAAAACAAAAAACTCGTTTTGTCTTGTGAGACCACCCCTACAGGGCCCCACCGGACCCCATACAGCCAAGAGCAGGTAACTCTCGTCCTAAAAATAATAAAGTTGTTTAACAAACTATCATTAAAATATTGACACAGTTCACTGTTTGTTACGAGGGAGGGGTGCAGAGAAAGGGACAGCCAGGTGTTCGAGAAGCATGTTCACAGACAAAGTTATTTATTCATTAACCTGTGCTGTGCCGTCTCCATCCGTTCTCGAACACCTGGCTGTCCCTTTCTGTAGCTTGTAGCATTTAAATATCGCCCGTGCGTTTTATTTATTGCTATTTACTTGTGTTTATATGTTTGCTGCTTCACAGTTCCTGCTAGTAACACTGGCATGGTTCTGTTTGTTGCAGTTTACGCCCTGTGCGTTGTGCTGTGTACACTACCGCCACAGGATGGTCATAAAGTGTGCCTCCGGTGTTTAGCCGAGGACGCTTACGACGGTCAAGGATGTTCATAATAAACGCCCTTGCGTCAATATTCCTGTTACATTATGTTGTGTTATGTTACACATATACATATTTCATACATTTACACACAACGTGCCTCATAGTGGCCGAGGTTGTTGTTTTGCCTGGGTTTCTGCGCCTCACGCGCATTCTTCCAGGCATGCAGATTTTATGTTTTTCACTAATCTGCATCAGGCGCTGTACGAATCTGTGATGATAGCTCAGGTCTATCGACGCCCAGGCCAGGAGGCTGTTGAGTGTGACAGAGCTACCGAGCTGCCGATCACCTCGACGCTCCTAGGTCTACCCGTGTACACCAGGGGAACCCTGCATTGCCAGGCTACTCCCATGTGTCTCGGGACAGTGGATCGGACTAGCACCGACCTGGGCTTCAGCCCCGGTACGGAGCAGATCCCCGGCGCTGTTAGCTCAGGTCTCGGCCTGATGTCTATCGATGCCCTGGCCAAGAGGCCATTGAGTGTCATGGAGCTACCGATCACCTCGACGCACCGAGGTCTACCCATGTACACCAGGGGAACCCTGCATTGTCAGGCTACTCCCAGGTGTTTCGGGATCGGGGCTTGAACTCGAACCGCCGACCCGAGCACTTATATATATATATTTATGGGTATTTATATAGCGCTATAGGCTATGTTTGACTATATGCTCAGTGCGCTTTTGGAGAGTACTGGGGGAACCCTGATTTATCAGGCTACTCCTACGTGTCTTGGGATCGAGGTTCGGTCTAGAACCGCCGAGGCTTCGGCTCCGTGAATGCTCTGAACCCCGTGAGTAGCACCGACCCGGGCTTTGGCACTAGTAGGGCGCAGATTCCCGGCACCGGTAGTTCAGGTTTCGGCCTGATGTCTATCGACGTCTTGACCAAGAAGCTATCGAGTGTGCCGGGTGTGTCGGTCACCTCGACGCTCCGAGGTCTGTCTGAGTGCTTGGGAAACCTTGATTTGTCAGGCTTCTCACATGTGCCTCAGAACCGGGGTTCAGGCTCGATTTGAGCTTCGGCTCATTTCACTACTTTGAACTTACCACCGAGTAGGTTCGTCCCTGAGGCAAGTGCGAGATAGAATCGAGGCTGTGTTGCCTCAGGTGTTGTCCACGTCGAATACCCGAACCGTTGGAGTTCGCCTCCCAGAGGGAAGCCTGCTTCCAGCAAGGCATCCGGGACAAGGCCTCACAATCTACCGTCAGTCTGCCGTTCTTTCCCCTTAACAGCTCAACGCTGTATGCTCCACTTGGCGCATCTCTCAGCTCTGCTGAGGGAGCTGGTGGAAAGGGGAAAGAGCGCCGGTGGTTTTTTCTGTGGCGCCAGGGACTGTTTCGAGGAATACGGAAGTCTGTCGAGCTTCTCGTTAATTCCTCTGGTGCCCAGGCACCGGCAAACGTTATGTTGCCGACTGCAGGGGTTTACTGTATTCTGCCACAAACCCCGGTTTGTTTCCAATGGTCAGGTTTCCAATGGTCAGGAAAATGTGGGGTTTGACTCCATTTATTTCCTCGTTGCCATTAAGAACGGAATGTTCAGACCCATTCTCATCTGAGAGCTGAACAAGTTAATAGAGGTACTGTCCTTCAAGATGCAGACACCGCACTCGGTGGATTGGCGCACGTCAATCGACCTCGAGGTCACGTACCTCCTTGTTCCATTGCACCCTGATTTCAAGATTTACCTTCGGTTCTTGGTTGACGTGACGTGCTACCAGTTTCATGTGCTCCCCTAAGGCTACATTACGGTCCCAAGGGTGTTCACCAAATTGAGGTTTATTACAGCCCAGATAGCCAGATCGCAGTGCCGGGATTCGAATTACCTTTTCGGCCAGACATTCTCACTCTGAACGGGTGGCTTGGCCTCTGTCGGGTCTAACCCCTAGACACGCGGAATTCCTGCAACCGTTGCAGACACAATTCTGGCTTCGAGGCGGGATTCGAGACCCGTTCAGTGTGTTGATAGGTTGGGCGCGCTGGTGTGCAGATAGGGGGATTTCATAATCCCTATTCTGCGGATTTAATTCGGATATTGGAGTTACTATAACCTCGTTTTGGTTGAGAGCCTTATGACCTCCACCATTCCCAGGTACTCCATGGCCTAGGCAGCACCCTCTCGTTCAGCGCTTCGTAGCTGGCATGAACAGGGTTCGACCGCCGCGGCGGCGACCCAGCCCACCTGTCTGGCCCTGACTTTTCAAGTATATTGTCTCTCTCACTTCACTTGTTGACGTGGAAGACGGCTTTACTTGTTGTGGTGAGCTCTGGTAGAAGGGTCGGGGTACATCCATGCGATACCCACTGACCCGACACTGACAGTATTTTATACTGATCATGTCCGTATTTGCCTCCCGGATACCTACCACTCTCAGTTCGATATTGCTTTCCACGTGACTGCTCATATCGAACTTCCACCCCTTACCCAGCCTTCCACACTGGGGACCAATCTTTCGATTGCTCACCCGTGACTGTGACGTACGAACGAACAAAAGGGATCCGTACGGGTACCAATTTGTTCTGTTTGGTTGCGGGAAGACTGGGGAGTCTTCTAGCAAGCTGACTTTATCTCGTTGGCTTGTTTCCGTAATTGTTAGGTTACAATGCTTAAGGTTTACCTTCCCCCGAGGGGTTGAAGGCAGACTGGGTAGGGCAGATACCGCTTTGTTGGCAATACACAGCGGCACTGCTCGATGAAGAGATCGGCTCTGTCGCTCTTTGGAGCGGCAGAACGCCTTCATTCGCCATTACCGACTTGACATGCATTCTAAGGATCATGCTCGGTTCGGTCTTTCAGTTCTCTCCAGTGGAGAGTGTCCTGCCACCCTGACCAAGTTAGTAACTGCTCATTGGTATCGGTTCTGTGTTCAATGTCGATATGGTTCATATCACTACATCGTATAAGCCTTACCACCCTTTCGGGTTGGGTCAGGTTTGGGTGTACATACGTCCCTTACGTCCTCTTCACTTAAAGGCAAGAGGGCGGGGTCAATATTGAACGCTTTAACCAGTCATATGCTATTAACCCGTCTTGCGACGGAATTGGCTACGAACCCCCCACGGGTCACTGTTTGGTATGCCTCTCTTCGAGCCGCATGTCACATGACCAGGTTAGTGTAATAGTGAGCCAACACATGTTCAGCTACGCTTTTCGCTATTCAGGGGATTTTTGTACGCTTAGTTTTTTCCCTCTTCCCGAGACTTCGGTATTTGGGAGTCTGTGTTGATCAGCTTTGTGGGATGGTGGTCTACACTTACCCTCCTCATGCCAAGAGTGTTTGGTGGGGGTGTTTTATCCTGTTTTTCACTCGTACAATGCATGGCGTTTGTACTCGTTCGATTTCCCCAGAAAGTTTTTAGCGAGGCTAATAATTTCTCTGGGTTTTATCGAGGTCCCGGCAAGCCCTCTTCCAAACAGGAGGGGTGCATTCGAGCATTAGTTTGCTGTTCTTATTAGCTCGACTTCTGGGTTATTGGCTTTTTAGCGTTTAAATTTTTACGCTTTCTCTACCCTTATACCTCTCGCCACGCTTCTCTGGCTGGGGCTATATTAGTGGTTGGGAGTTGTTTCGGCATGTCCCCATACATTCCTTTCCATTGTAATGGTTGGGATGGGGTTTTATGTCCCAATTGATTTGAGCCAATTGACATATAAGCTTGGGCTCTCTAGTTCACGTCCCCGTCTGATTGACATCAGCGGTCAGGTGGCTCGGTAAGTGTTTTTTCTGTTTCCGTATCGGTTGTAGATTTCACTCCACCACGGGTTTAGTTGTTGCCAGACAGAATGCCACTCCCGTCTCAAATATCTTTGGGAGTCTGTCATATGCTTATATGTACCCCAAGGAGGACTTCTTCTGAAAAAGAATTATACAAACCTGTAGAGGTTATGAATTATTTGAAGAAAGTCCTCCTTGGGGTACGGCCACCCGCCTCCCCTCATTCTGTCTGACACGTTCAGCATGAAAAGTGAGGTACGAGGTAGACGGCAAGAGTTACCTGCTCTTGGCTGTAGGGGTTCCGGTGGGGCCCTGTAGGGGTGGTCTCACAAGACAAAACGAGTTTTTTGTTTTGTAAATATTTTATTAAAAAATATAGTTACAACTGTCGTAGGATTTGAAATGGACATTTAAATGCTTATATGTACCCCAAGGCGGACTTTCTTCAAAGAATTCATAACTTCTACAGGTTTGTAGAAATTTCATTTCTTGTTTTACAGATTTTTGTCCTAAGAAAACCTAAAGGCAGGAGGGAATAATATAAAATATAAAAATGACCAGTCAAAGTAATATTCCTTTTAAATACTAAAAGAATTTTATTTTTGGCTATTTATGAAGTGTATATGGAGCAAAAAACAATCAAAAAATTTTTTTTGTGAAAGTTTACATTTTTGGCCAATAAAAAC